CTGAACACAGGAATCGAGGGGGCGGCCTCACCAGTGCCAGTACAGGGGTCAGATCCCTTCCCTGTCCCTGCTGGCCACGCTATTGCTGACACAAGCCAGGATGCCATTGGCCTTCTTGGCCCCCTGGGCACACTGCTGGCTCCTGTTCATCGGGCTGTCAATCAACCCCCCCAGGTCCCTCTCTGACTGGCAGCTCTCCAGCCTCTCCTCCCCAAGCCTGTAGCGCTGCTGGGGGTTGTTGTGGCCCAAGGGCAGCCCCCAGCATTTGGCCTTATTGACACTCATACAGTTGGCCTCAGCCCATGGCTCCAGCCTGTCCAGGTCTCTCTGCAGAGCCTCCCTACCCTCGAGCACATCAACACTCCCACCCAACTTGGGGTCATCTGCAAACTGACTGAGGGTGCACTCGATCCCGTCATCTAGATCATCAATAAAGATGTTAAACAGGAGTGGCCCCAACACCGAGCCCTGGGGGACACCACTCGTGACCGGCCGACAACTGGATTTAACTCCGTTCACCACAACTCTCTGGGCCCGGCCATCCAGCCAGGTATCTGAAAGTGGATCTGAATGCTTGAAAGGCATAAGAACAATGTGTAAAACTGCATTTGGTGTGCCCCAATTTGAATAGGACACCTCATGTGAATAAATAAAGAATTACTCTTGTAATTCTATGCTTTAAATCCTAGCCTCTCTCAGTCAGCATATGCTGGTTGCAAAATTTTCATGGCAGTCAGTTCTACTGCTGTGCCCCTTTCTCACAGAGGTCCCTTACAGGGCCATGGAAGCCAATCTTTTTTAAAAAATAATCCAGACCCATGAGGGATTAGCAATGGCTAAAACTCACAGGCATCTTCTAACAGACAGCATTTTCAGTGTTCCCATCTGGGAATCATCCCTTCAGCACCCATTGCTGATGCACATACATGATCTTTTGGCTACCTAAAGGTATCCCCATCTGTCTGAGTGGCATGGTTCCCACTGTAAATTGATGGGCTCTTGCCCTAGAGCACTTTTGCTACACAATGATGGATGCAATGGCTGTAGAGTGGTGATCACCAGTGATACAGAAAACTTGTCTTT